TCTTTTTTTTTCTAGGACAACTCAACCTTGCACATTTTCTCTTTCCTTGAATTTTGGTAAAAACTGATGTAAACAGCTCTTAAACCTCCATTTCTTTTCAAATTTATGAAAAAGAGGGGTAATACAACATGAACTATGCTCAGATACAGAGAATGCCACTTACCAGTAATTTAGCAGCTTGCACTCTAACAACCCAGGAGCCATCACTAACCATGTGACAGATTTTTCCAAACGCATCATCCACCAGGCGAATTTCCTCATTAGAAGAAGGAATTGGGACGATGCTAACAGAGAAACATGAAAAAAAATGGTGATCTGATGCTATCCAGCATGGCAGAAAGCAAGAAATAGCTATTCTGAATGCCTAGGGACATGCAGTGAGCATCAGTAGCCAAAATGTCCTCTAGCTCAGTGATTCTCACCAGGTATCAGCATTTTGTACACATCAGCTTTCTAACAGTGGCTCCTGAGATTTATCACTGTTTCTGGGATTAGGATTATTGCTTTGCCACCACTTGGAGTCATTTCTCTCTATAAAGCACATACCTTTCAGGGTACAGTTGGCTGAGGACCCAAATGAGCTGAACGGCAGCACTTCGTACTTGCTCATAATCATCTGCCAGCAGCTTGCAAGCCTGAAAAGATTTCCAGTCAGATATACCTGAAAACACCTCCAGCACTGCTGATCTCCCACAATGGATATCTGATTCCCACCATTAATCAGCCAGGCCAGATTGCAAATCAAGATGAAGTCGCTCTCCCCTCCTGCTCCAAATTTGATCAGATAGACTAGCCCTAAGGCAGTCAGCTAGCCACATGCAGAACTCCAGAACCTGTACAAGAACTGACCTGCTCAGCCCTGCAACCTCACCAACAAAACAAATGAAACCTTCTTGCATGAAAAGGAGTTTACTCTTTGAAGATATTACAAGATAAATGGAGAAAAGACAAGATGCTAGATAACTATGGGTATTATCTCCCTCAGTAAATAACATATTCCAATCAAAGTATACGTGGCAGTGCACTTGAGCAAAACAACATGCAAAGTGGACTATTTGCACCACCACATAACAAAAACACAGCTAGACTGCACACAAAGTACTCCATCCCCATTCAGTGACCTCAATCTCTCCAAGCATGTATTACAAAATCTGAAAAGTAATATAGACGAGCAATATAAACAACCAGAAGAACAAAGTTTTACCTGACAGTAAATAGCCTGTTGTAATTTTAATCCTCTTTCATGAAGCTGAAGCTACAGGAAAAAGAAAAAGCAAAGTTTAAAGTGACATAGTTTTATATAGTTTTAAGGGACAAAGATTTAGTTTTCATGACTGTTTTTTCCTGCTATTTGAATAACTTTACTTCTCTGCATTTCTTGATTCCTGCTATAATTAAGCCATTTCATGATTTTGGCCATGACAAGTATAACCTTTAC